AGAAAGGGACCAGTAACAGATACATTAGAACTGTTAAACCTGTACCAGGCCAGTGATAGTTTAACAGCATCTCCGAACCAGACCAGTACCAGGCCAATAAAATCAATAAAAATGAGAAAGCAGGATAAAATAGGAAAAGATTATGTTAGGTAAGATCAATAAGAAACCAGGACCAGAACAGTTACCAACACTGTATACCTAAACCGGACTAATAGAAAATTTAAAACACTTGAAGCCAGACCAATTCCAGAATAATACTAGCGTTTAAGATCCAGCAATAGACCGCTGCAAGAACAATAAGAACTCAAACCCTGATAAGTAGCCAGTCAGTCTCAAAGAAACAAAAAGCACCTAACATATCAATAACAATTCCAGAATTTAAAAAGTACCAGGCCAGTAAGAACCTAGAATTGGGCCAGTACCAGTCCAAGTTGAGCATCAACCTTATCTGGCCAGTATCAGGAAGCAAACTACCAGTTCATTAACAGTCAACCAATATCCGAGCACCAGCAATAAAATAACCCTTGCTGCGTCAGTACCGGTACCAATATCTGGTCAGACCAGTAACTTGTAAAAAGAATGATGGTTTCCATTAAAGATCTTAATCTTCATTATAAAAACCTGAGTGGCTCTTAGGTGGATCAGGACCATCCCAGCAGTGGTGGGTGGAGCCTGGTGATGAAAAAGTGGGGGTGGGTGGAGTTATCCAGGCGTACAGTGTTGGTCTGGACATGCAGATGTCATGACACCTTAATCCAGCCAACCGTTATTGATTGTTCCATGTGTGTGACCTTGCCGCAGGAGCTCGGCCAATCAAATGCACCACTCCTATTAGAGCTAGGTCTACGTACTGAACAGGTTGTTTTCTCTGGAGACCGATCCCTAGTTCACATTACCTCAGTCAGGTAATGTGAACTAGAAATATGACAAGCAGCAGAAGGAAGACAGTTAAAAGAAAGAGAGAAGACATTGAAGACAATAAATGCTGCAATGAACAGTTTGATTTTAATTGAAAAAAATGTCCTCTTCAGGTTCGTCTATTAAACTTTCTGTTTTAATCTGACTTCTCTGCCTGCTACTATGGGTGAGTGATATTCCATGATGGTTTTCTGACTGTTTCAGAGTGTCTTATCTCTCTGCCCCGATGTGCCTCAGCTCTGACCTGTGTATGTGTTACGGTGTGTCTGGTTTAGTGTAAGTGCGCTACAGTGTGTCTTATCTTTCTGCCCTTATGCACCTCCGCTCTGACCTTGAAGAACCCTGTTTAGGCTAACGGCAATAAAATGTCACCAGTCGGCTCCGAGCGCACTGATGAACATAATATCTATGGTTCACTGAAAGCCAGCACGTGTCAGTCACCTTGAAAAAAGACAAACATCAGAAAACACTAGAACATCTAATACTCAGGCATGATGGGAGGTGTAGGAACATTGGTGACTCAGAGGTTGCTTTCACAAAAAAGAGAAGAAGACATGATTTCAGAGGAATAAAGTTATTTGGAGTGAGTGGGTGGGGTGGGCCGTCTGTTATGTTCAAGAAGTTTACAGCAGCGGGACACATGTGAAAGTGTGTTCATGTAACTGGGGGTGTTTAACAAGGCCAAAACTTTGAAAGTTTTTCATTGGCTCCAATCTGCTCCAATCTGAACCATTAAAGATTACAGACTGTCTGGTCTAAACAAGAAGAAATCAGAGCATTTTAATCTCAGGATTAGCACACATTCCTTCTTCAAGAGAAATTAAAAATCTTATTTACTGTTTTCCAGTTGCCCTCTAACTCACAGCCTGATGAGTCATCTGGGCTGGGTGGTGCTGAATGGGGAAATACCTTTCATTACAGGGAAACAGGCAGAAGAGTTAAGATTGGAGTTCGGATTAGACTGACTATGCGGAGCCGGAAAAAAATTCAAATGGTTGTTCTTGTTTCTGCAACTGAAACATCATTAAAAACTGTTTCATTACATTTACCTGGTGTCCACAGTCAGAGGTGGGAGATCAGAGGACCGCCAAAGATTAGGAGCCTAAACCTCAGACTAACAGCTGACACATGATGATGTTGCAGCCATGCTGACCTCTGACCTTCACAAACAACATCCCATCATATTCTGTTCAGATCAGGAGATGAAGGTTCATCATGTGATTGACACTGGTCATGTGACTGCGACATCACTCTGCCTTTATTTGGCCGACTGTGATGGAGGGGGGGGGGGGCATTAAACAGACTTCCTGTTGTTAACAAAGGGTCCTTCTTCAAAAAGCGGGGGCCCCAGCTCCTCATCTGTTGTCCAACCAGAGGTGTCTGCTGAAGTAAATCTGCCTAAATCCTACAGGAGGGGGCCGAGGGGGAGTCTGACAGGAGGTACTGGGGGTGTGGGGGGGTTGAAGGTGAATAAAGATAATCTGCTTTTCTTCACAATAAAAGCTTTCATGGAGGCGGGGCAGAAAAATTAAGAATTCATATCACATGCACCATTTTAGGCCTGATTCCTGACCTGTAGAGAAGCAGAGCAGTCAGGGGCCCCAGGAGCCACCAGGGCCCTCATACAGGTCCCACATGGAAGCTCCAGATTCACAGTTCACAAGATTGTTTAGTGCTGCTCAAAAATATTTCAAAAGAATTTTTTTTTTAATTATTAAAAAAAAATGTTGCCGGTGACAGAAAGCCCGTATTTGGGAAATGCTGTCATTCAAAATAAAAATAAAAAACTGGAAGGTCTTAGATTCTCGTAGGACCATCTGCATCTCAGGAGGATGAAGGCCACAAATACACCTTCTCCTGCTAGTAACCTCCTCTGTCCTCCTTTCTCACCTCCTCCTCTCTCAGCTCAATTCCTTCTCTGCTGCTTCTTTCATCTGGGATGGCAGTGAGCTGAGCGTCCCCGGCGGCGCTCACAGCATCTGAATGGTGATTAAGGAGGAGCGGAGGAGCTGCTTTCTTTGTTCTGCCCTAGGGGGGGTATTTACCGAGTAAGGGGGGGGGGGGGGCAGATATGAAAGACATTCAGGTCAGAGAGCAGCAGATCCGACCTGCTTTTAAACTGCTTCAACAGAGAACCATAAAAAGGCCCCAGTTATGTTATATTAACGCATCAGTATGAAGTTCTGATTTAGGTGACGAGTCTGAAGTGACATTAACCAAGCTGCAGCGGGGGGAACCTGAGCTCTCATGCTCCAAGAAACAGAACCGAACTTTAGACTGAATGCTGTGCCGAACATCAAGCTGAAAACTTCATCAGGCCGAACTCCAAACATAAAGCTTCTCCCTTTAACTGGATCAGAGTAAAGATCCCACCTTTCAGCTACATCTAATATGGGGGGAATGACACCTTTACATGCATTCCTGTCATTGTGCTTTAATGTGTATGAAGTTCCTGCGAGTGCAGAGGTTGTATCAGCATAGAGCTCAACTTAATGCGCCAGTTGCTCTGCAATGGCCTCCTGTCAACACCAACAGGCCTTCTGTCTGCAAGGCCCTTCAATGTGCTCATAGCTCCTGTCAGGTGTGCATATAGCTCCTATTTCAATGAAAGTGAAATTAGAGAGGCTGAGGTTGATTGTCACATTAACAGACAGGCTGTAAAATAAAATAGGCAAACATCAAAAAGTAACACCTCAATCTGGATTAATTACATAATCAATCATTATTATGAGTTGAAAGAGACCCATGATGTGGCTGATCAGCAAATCTGAACAGACAGAATCCAGATTTCATTCTGAAGGATTCTGTCAGAGGAAAGAGCGGCCCTGATGCAGAGTACAGTCCACTCCTAGTGAACCACCAAGCTGAACTGTACATCTCTTGTTTTATCCTACATCTGGTTATAACGGTACACAATCTGCATGCTGCACGAACATCCCCAAAGCTGCTACAGCAGAAACTTTAATTTAAAAACACACCAAATAAACCAGCTTCAGACTGTTTTATTTTGTTATGAAAATCTATTTTAATAAAGCTGAATTGATTTTTGTTTTAGGTTATTGGTTGTAACTATTTGTATATTTCACATTTCTCTATAATTTCCGTTTCTCACAAGCTGCATGAGAAAATGTATCTAAAAGAATCTAAATTCAAAATGATGGAATGAGGAATCTAGCTGTAAGAAAGTTAATTCCAGTCATGAAAATAACAGAGAAGTTATTTTTACAACCTGAACCGCAAGTAACACGCACTAAAACAGAGAGAGAAGCCAGGCAGAAAACACAGAGTTTAGTCAACAGCTGTATCTTAACAGCTGGATGAGACCTCCAGAGGTGGAGGAGGCCGCAGTGACCGTAGAGCCACAGAGCCGCTCAGAGACTAGAACTTAGAACGAGGGTAAAAACCATTCCGAAATATAAAATAAATCTAAGTTAATTTAATTCCAAAGAATCATATTTAATTCTAAAAATACTCGGAAACAACAAATAGTATTTTTTATCATATAAGAAGCCCAAAGTCCCTTTTAAATGTCTAAAAAAAATGTATTTAAAAAATCTATCAGATAACTTATAACATATTAAATGCTGTGCATTCATTTCTGTGCGAGGATGATTTTGTTTTTGTTTTTATTGCTCTGCGCCTCTATTGCATTAATCGTTTTTCCTTTTTATTTCGGTCACTTTCTACTTTTTTGTTGTTGTTTTTCTAGAATAAATTGCCTTTATCCCCATCTGAATAAAATACTTGGCTTTGTTCTAGTTCATTCACTGATGATCTGTTTGTTAAACAAAACCATGTTCAGTTTTAAATCTTCTATTCTGTGCTGGCCGCCTTAATAAAATACTTATAAATCATTAATAAGTCCTGCTGTAAACACCCTTGAAAATAAATATATATTTTTTGTTTGTTTGTTTAATTGTTTTTGCAACTGATAAAAGAAAAAAAAAACGGGAACTCCTCAGAGAATCAAACAGAGACAGAGCAGTTTCCCGGACACGCGGAGCTCCGGGTCCCGCTCCAAACTTTCTTCAGTCCGCGACACTTTGAGCAGAGTTCTGGGCAGTGTGCAGTGCTGTTCTTACCGCTCTTTCTGCGGGGGTTGAGCTGTTTGCGCCTCTTCCATCGGGGACTCTGGGCCATCATCTCCGTCCTCCTGCTGCCTGAACAACGGCACAGACACACACCGTCAGTCCCAGACCGGCTCCGGATCCCACAACTCCTTATCCACTCCCAGAACTCCCGATCCACTCCCACAGTGGCTCCCCGCACACTCTGTGCACTTTGTCAACACTTTGTTAGGCTGGAGAGCGCGCACCGAGCCGCGTCCCCGTCAGCCTGATCTCTGATGAGGAGCGTCTCCGCTGGTCTGACAGGAGGAGGGGACACATTCATACACACTGGTACAAACTCCGCACACAGACACACACTCAACTGCTCCACCTCCTTACTGAACAACACCCAACAACTAACTTGTTGATCTGCCAGGCCTCGCCAATCACCCATCAACAATATATCGATGTCAGCTTTGGATATTTTCTTATTATATAAGATCAACAATAAGGCCTGAAATCAGCTGCGCTCTTTAATAAAACGTTGTTTCCACCCCATCCATCCATCCATCCATCCATCCATCCATCCATCCATCCATCCATCCATCCATGCGCCGCAGGATTCCCTCGCTCTGAATCTGCTGATTTAAATCCAGCAAAATGAGCTGCAGCGCACTCTGCCAAACACCACTCTGCTAATCCATTCATCTACTCATCCTCCTATCCATCCATCAATCCATCCATCCATCCATCCATCCATCCATCCATCCATCCATCCATCCATCCATCCATCCATCCATCCATCCATTGGCCCCACCTGGATGCTTTCCTCTCACCTGTCGCGCAGGTAGAGCTTTGCAGGTAACTGCTGCGCTCTGATTGGCTGCACGGAGTGAACTGTGAGCAGAGGAGCAGAGAGACTGAATAGGATCAGAGGATTCTTACAGGAGAGGTTCGCCGTTCGTTTTCTCCTGCGGGAGTAAAAAGTCCAGCTGAGCCTCGGTGGGTCCGGATGGGTCCAGGCGGTTCCTGAGCCGGAGCGACTCTCATAACGGGTTCTGTCCGGAGTGCAGGTTGGCCATCTCTGCTTGTCGCCTTCCGCCGCTTGACACCGCGTCTTTCTGCTTCATGCACAGCAGCGATAACTCGTGGCCCCACGCGCCACCTATCTTCACGAGGGGGGATAATTAATCAGCCTGTCCACGCGCCCCACTGCTCTGTTCTCTCTAAACGAGGGCTGGAGCTTATTGGCTCACAGGATGTTACCTGAACAGGTGAAGTGTCTCACCTGGGGAATAGGGCTGTGTGGTTTCTCTTCTCAGCTACTCGCTGAAAATGAATGAAGATACATTTTAACATCAATAAGACCTCAAAATATAAAAGGTTTATTTAAGTTAATAAAATTTGAATTATCAAATAAAAAAATATTTCATTCAAAGCCAGCATATTTATTATCATTATTTAATTTAAAGCCAAAAATGAAACAACAGAACCATAAAACACTAATAGAAAAAAAAAATGAAATCATACTATTTCTTTTAAATTTCTTCGTATAAATTTATATTACATAAAAGAAAAAATAACAATAACATGAGAGTGCTCTAATATTTTTTTAGGCTGTATGAAAAAAAAAAATATATATATATATTTTTATGTATGTAGTGTGAGATGTGAGATTTAGCAGAATTAAATTAAAGAAAGGTTAACAGTGTGTACAGCTGTTAAAAAGCACTGCCCTTTAGGGGTGTTGAGCAGGGCCTGTTTATAATGGTATTTATCTCTATACTTATTCAGTAGAACCCATGTCCTGTGTTTATAGAACCATTATTTATCCTGCACTTGCTGCTATTGCAATTCTGGTTAGACCTAAACTGCATTTCGTTGCCTTGTACCTTTACCTGTGCAATGACAATAAAGTTGAATCTAATCCAGTGGTTCCCAAAGATTTTCTTGTTGGCCCCCCTTTGGATTACAATAAAATTTCCACGCCCCCCCCCCCCCCCCCCCCCCCCAAAAAAAAAAAAAAAAAAAAAAAGAATGAACTGGGCACACACATCGTTCAACCAGATATAATAAATCTATACACATATTTTGTTTTCAAACTCCACTGAAGTTTATTTCACACTTCAGGTTGCAACAAAACAAACTACACCATCTGTAGGAACACTTGTGTAACTTTATTTTTTTAATAGTTCCATACTGTAGATTAGAAGAGGATTCTTTGTTGTCTGTGTTATTTTAAACATATATATTTTTTTTTTTGTAACAATATTTAACTTTGCTTTAATCTATACATTAAAAAAGCCTCTGTGCAAAATGGAGTGAAAACATTGAATAGCTCCCTGAGAGTTTTTTCTTTGTACTTTAATCCTCCCATCTTTTCAGTGGCTGTAGTGAGCCTGCTTTTTGCTGTAGATCTTCTCAAATCTGGGTAGCAGTGTCACAACTGTCCATTGTGGTCAGTCAAGCAAGCGCTGTTTTTTTTTTTTTTTTCTTCATTCATCCATACCGCTTCCCGCGCCCCCCCTGCAATGGCATTGCGCCCCCCCTAGGGGGCGCGCCCCACACTTTGGGAACCACTGATCTAATCTAATCTAATCTTAAGTATGGAGGACTTGACCCTCTAAGACACACCCCTCCTCATTTGCATAATGAGGCAGAAATGCATACAGAAATGTAAAAACCACAGGCAGAAATAGATAGCATTGAAGAAATAAATAGGGTAAAAAAATACAAAGGAAGAATAAACCAGACAAAATTATTAAAACATGCACATAAATAAATACTTAAAGAAATAAGTAATAAATAAATAAAGTTGAAGAATATAACAGACAATAAATGTCTCACTGTATAATTTAATTTCTACCTACATTTATTTGTTTATTGTATTTTTTGGGGGCAATTATTGTATGCTTATTTATTTTTGGAGCATTTGTTTATTTCTGTATTTATTTTTAATTATGGCAGGATTGGTCCTCCATACTTAAAGGGTTGCAGTGATAGGATGGATTCAGCTGTGTTGGCTCTTCTGACACAGTGCCAGGTTTGGAACACCTGAAGGACGTCATGTGACATTTCTGAAATCATGTGACTGTCTGGTTTTACCTTAATCTGAGCTGGGGTTGGGTGGGGTGGATAGTTGTATTAGGGGTGTTTATGGGTCAGAGTGGGGGTTTAAAGGGGTATTACACTAATCATGGTGTAAGTGCTCCCTTCATGTTCATAGTCAGCTCAACATCTGTCCTTGGCTGTGTGTATTGGGAGGCTACAGGGAACGCAGACAAAAACAATTCAATTATATTAAGTGTTGTGCAGGTAGCTGACATTAGTACAATTTGTTTTAACTTTGTGGATTCCCCCTCTAATTCTGCTACTACAACCTACTGAGGAGGTAACTCCTGCATGATATGAATGACTTAGACTTAGATTTATTTTGACCTTTTTTATACATGTGTGTATACAAAAATAAATTTTGTTTAAAAAAGCTCTAGACAATTTCATTTTTTTAAGTGCAGCCTTGAAAACAGTAAGATGAGGACCAAATGAGGACCATATTTAAGGCCGTAGCATTCTGTTTCCTACTTTTTGACAGGAAAAAGTAATTTCTATATTCAGGAATAGTTGGAATGTTGTGTTGTCACAGTGAAAGAGCAAATGCAATTCTGTGGAAACACATGAAGGTTGATAAGGACCCTCAGCTTCCTATGGGCTGAGCACTGACAGCAGCTCTATATGTAGCAAGGGTTTAAAAACTACAAAAAAATATCTTTTCAATCTTTTCAGAGTATACCTGAGTGTCTCTGTATGTTCTTAATGACTATTTGGTTAAATTATATTCTGCATCTTAAATGTAGAAACTTTACCTGATTGATAGAAATATAATGAAGCTTCCAGCAGGACCTCATACTGCTTTAAAAAGCCTTTTTTGTTTTATGTTCAAGGTTTCCATCTGGATTGATAGTAAATAGCTTTCGTTCCATTATAATTTCTAGTTAGCAAAAATCTGCAAAGTTGTCCAACCAGTAAACTGTAATTGATTACTAGCCAAAGCTTGGTGAAACTAAATTTACTCAACAGGATTAAACAGAACTGAGATTAAATTAGCTCAAACTGAACTCGACCGGAGAGGACGGGCCACATGGAATTGGAAAGAAGTGGATGGAATGAACTACGTAATTGATCTAGATTCAAATGGACACAACTGGCCTAAGCAGAACTCCATGAAACTGAAATTTGGAAAATTGAGCTGAACTAAATTTGACTGACTTGTAGTAAAGTGAACTAGACTTAACTGAATGAACTGAAGGAGAAAGACTGGACTCAATTAAAATGGAATAAACAAGACATAACATGAGCAAAACAGAATAAGATGGACAAACCCAAAAATTGAAAAAAATTTAAACTGAACGAATTGGACTCTAAAAATCTGAACTGGCCTGAAATCCAGTTAACTTATATTATCTAAACTGGACTGGACTAAACTGGATACATTCAACAGAACTAAACTGCAATTGACTTGTTTAAACAAAACTAAAATGAAATGGAAAAAGCTGAGTTAAATTAAATTAAACTGAATTGAGCTGAACTATGCTGTACTAGAGCTGTTTTATTTCAGTTTAACTTGGTTAAAAAGTCTTTATGAAACTAAACAGATTTGATATGCTTAAATTTTGTTGAATAAAACAACTATTATTACTGAAAGAATGGAACTAAGCTGCATTAGGTTTGGCTGAAGAGACCTGGGTTGAACTGGAATGGGCAAATATAAACTGAATTTAACTGGATTACTTTAAGATAAAATTATAAGGATTGAATCAGAATAACTTGAGTGGAATAAAATAAAATGCAGAACTACAGACATATCTCACACTTCACTTCACAATTCTGCCTGAAGAATTGATCAGCTACAGCTGATTCTGAAAGCTGCTGCCTGTGTCTTCACTAAAACTAAGAAAGGTAGAACACATTACCCAGTTATAAAATTCTTACAATGACTCCATGTCAGAGAAAGACTTTTCAATACTTCCATTAGTCAATAAATCATTAAATGGGTTGGTTACAAAATACATTACAGACCTGTTATAAGTAAGAAAACTCTCAGAAGACTATAAAGGTTTAGGAACCTTTCAATATGTTTGTTGGAGGACTGTAAATGTGTGGAAATCCTAAGTTCCTTCACATCATGTCTTTAAACTCAATTATTTGCTGTTGCCTGTTGCTGTTAACATAATTGTGATGTCTATTGTTGAAAATATTTATGCAAGGAACTGTGAAACTTAATTACACAAGCAGTCAAAATAGAGTGCATTCATAGGAACCAGCAATCCCTTGCCTAGCACTTGTTTTTGTTATGACTGATTCTTGACAGTGTATGTTATTTTTGACCATAACATGTATATTAATTCTGGCTTTAAGGGGTTAAAACTACAGTCCAATTTTCTCAACCTGCCCCTATGCCACTGCAATTAAAAGTTGTTGAGTTTTCTTAAGTTCTATTTTTGTCTAGCACTTAGAAATTTTATGTTATTGAAATGACCTGCATGGATAACCTTTCCTTTCCTTACCTTTCCTATCTTTTCCTTGCATTGCCTTGCCTTGCCTTGCCTACCTTGGACTGGAGAAAATTTAACAGAACTGGATCAAGAAAGACAGACGGGTGGACAGAGGGGTTAAGGAACCCATCTTTTATAACCTAAAAAAAAAAAAACAACACTAAACAGAGGAGGTGGTCTTAGACATAACCTGCCACCTACTTACAAAGCAATTTTAGGAATAACGCCCAGAAGATTCACCTCTCACCTGTCCTCACTTGACTCACAATTCACTGAGGCATGTGATGAAAACCACTCTGAAGAGGGAGTTAATGACCAATTAGAGTCCCCTAACAGCCATAAACACCCCCCAGGTGACCTCCATGGCCAATCCAGTGGGAGGGATCACAGCCACCTTTTGTTTTTCTTCAGCAAATTTTTGTCAAACCTGAAGCATATTATTCTCAGCGCTCCCCATCATCAGTTAGAACTGAGGAAGCCTCTCGGATGAAAGGTGAAAACTTCACATGCAGATGCCTAAACTGAACTATTCAAGCTTTACCATGACCTGGGTGACTGCAAATCTTCACA